TAGCGGCTAACCACCCTTTAAACAAAAATAACGCACTCGTTTAAGTATATATATATATGTATATGCCGTATACATATGTTATTTTGTTTTCATGTTTCTTGACCGGATGTACTGGGTTTCTCAATGCTGGATTGAGTCAACCATTAGCGTGTGCCGGTGGAAAAGCCCGTGGTGTGAAACCTGATGCCACCGGGCCTGTGCTTTGTGACGTGGAGAGAAACATGAAGGCAAAGCCTATGAAAAAGATGGAAAGTGCAAGCAAGGCAAAGGGAAAGCAAACCACTACCACAACAGCAACAGCAGCAGCAACAACAACAACATGTAATTTAATGGAAACCCATCATGTAGGAACCCTCTATCGGTAGTTATTTTTGTGCGTGTATTCCTGCAATACGAGCACCCTTTTGGAACAACTATTGGGCCCATTTTCCAAAGAAGTTTGTACCCCAAACCCTCCAAACAAAACCCTGCAATACTACGAAACTACTAATATATATACTATATAATCGCCTCTTTTCCCTTTCTTCGGCCCCTTCAATCAAAGGATGTCAAGAGATTCATAAGTCTGGGGATCCCTCCTCATGAAGATATATATATATAGTCTTAGGGGATGTCTCTCATGGAGAGATGTAGCCTCGGAGATGTCTCCTCATGAAGAGGGTAGTCAGGTTAGTCTTTGGGATCTCTCCGCATGATTGACCCCCCTTCAACAGTCATGGGAACCACAACTGTTTGGTTCCCTGACCTTCTGGGAGTTGATCATTGTGCTTCCACCCTATTCGATGGTGAAGAGATTGCACACGATGGAGCCAGTGGTCAGGCTTTTGGATATTCAATTGAGGGGATGACAGCATAACATCACGAACCAAGTTATCTTGTGCATCCATTTGCTTGTTGGATCCAGACTGCGTCGAAAACTGTGGGAACTCCATGGACTTTCCAAGGTGCTCCTACTACAGCGCAGCCAACCGCTGTAGAACTGTGGGGAATACTCAGCGACTGGAGTGGCTTGGGCTGCATGTTGCCATCACGGTCCGGGGTGATGAGGGCAGAGTTGTGTAGGCGAGAATTCTGCACGCAGATCATACAGCACCCACCTTTCTATGGACTTGGTCCTTGGTAGAGGGATGTGTGGGCAACTTCCACACATCGATTCACATTCAATGATACACTGTATACTCCACCGCACAATGTATATAGGTGGCCGCTCTAATCACTTTGCCGCCTTCATCACCAGAACTGAGGTCGGGAGCGAGACGTCTCGGAGATTGGTAGCCCAGGGGGCAACGAGGAAGGGCTTTGGTGTCACCTGTGCGAGTCGCTTCAAACCTGGAGGGTTTTTTGATGTTTTTTGCAAAGGCCGAACGGGACCATTGTTGGCTTGCGAATGCAGCCAGCCAAAATGGCCATCAAGAGCCAAATGAGTTAAGACAACAACATGGAACAACAAGAAAATACATGAGGGTGCCGGCCTTGTTCTCATCGTCGCAGGCGGTCGATGATGACCGGTTGGATGATGGCGATGACCTTCAAGCTTCTTTCCTTGCACTTGCTAGTAGTGATGCAGTTGCTACTCTTGTAGTAGCGATGCACTTGTTACTAGTAGCGATGCAGTTGTTACTAGGGTGGGGGGAGCGGGCTTTCAACAAAATGTTGAGTTTCTCATTGACTCTGAAGAGTCGGGCAGTCCATTCTGAGGAGCAACTGCCCTGTGAAGGCTGGAGTCGGAGTCGGGTGAGAGCGGTCGGCGGTGAGAGCTTGAGACGATCGCGGCTTGTAATTTCGTTTGTGTTCGGACTGCCCAGATTCTGCAATCCACGGGCTGTATGTTACAATACAGTTTCACATAGTAGCAGTCAGTATGAGCATGTGAGTCAGTAGCGTTTGCGCAGTCCGGGCCAGGATTTCTGCTATCACACGAGCTGCTTGGGCAGATGTGCGCAGCCTGAGAGTTTTGACATCAGCAAGTTTTTTTTTTTGGGGGGGAAACGGAAGCATGTCAGTAAGCAAAGAACAGCAAAGCTGGGCATATTTGGAACATCTTTCGGCCAAGGGTGATCTCTGAAGTGGCTGTTGGGGGGTGGCCATTGCATCCTGGTCTCCGATTGTGGGCGAGCTTTTGGATATGGCTGCAACGCCAGGCCAGGCAATTGGCTGGGCATTTTTCTGTACGGGGTCTTGGCCAGATCTGTTTGGGGGACAGCCTAGACGTATAATATATTTATATCATTTTTTGATTAGGAGGCCATCGCTAGTAGGTTGGAGGCCATCGCTACTAGGGTGGAGGCCATCGCTATCAGGTAGAGAGATATTTGTTCTTTTGATTTACAATTGGCTTAATACTTAAGATGGTATATTTTTTGAGCTCTCAGCTGCCAGGGGTCAACTTGGCCTTGGCTGCGAGGACAGTCCGCGATCGATGTCAGTTAGATTATACTAGTGTTCTCGATGTCAACATGATTCGATCAGAATATGGCGTATGTCCTCTCATGTTTGCTGTATTTGCAACTTGGAGCATTGGAGAACATTGATTTCCAGCATCATTCTATCACTACAGCATCCACATGCCAAATGTGTCCAGCCCCCCACATTCACATTTCATTGAATTGGCCTATGTCATCCTGCTCCATTTTTCGGGAGTCTGTGCAGCATGGTAGACTCAGGTTGGAGCCTGGGAGTAACGTGAACCATCGTGAAACCGCAGAACTGCGATGAAAGCGACCGCTTCTTCGGTCGCTCGGGCGCTCGCGCGTTTCAGGTAGGATCTCCCGGAAGGTCCTCACTCAGTGAGCTGCCGGAGCTGAGACCCTTTGGGCAAGAAGGCGCCAGCAAGTCGATACCGTGCGTCTACGGAGAGTCGATGTGGTAATTTCCAACTGACCACGCAACGCCACCCCTTCCACCCACCCAAACGGACGAACAACAAACAGCCGACCAACAAAAAACACCAAGCATGCCAAACGGCCATCATTTTTCTATGCCAGAACAGCTGGATCACAACGCTAGCTAAAACATGCTCCGCCGGCGGACCCCAAAAACGAGGACCAAAAACGCTGTAGAGTCCGGGGTCGCCACAGTAGGCCTCCCCAGTACGACAGGGAAGTAAACGTGCACATGATTGATCGGCAGATCTGGCTTGCCCAGGTACTGATTGCGTCCAAATGACATGACCACAGTCTGCATTAGAAGAAATGCTTGGGAGAGTTTATATATTATATATGTCAGGTTAGTGTGTTTGGATACACCGTGTAGTTTTTTCCCCCCGAATGCGTAGCGAAGGGTTCTCGTTTAACTCTGGGGGTCTGGGGGTAGAGCCTTGTTCGCGACTCGTTGTCTGAGCGACCGCAGCCGTTGTCAACCGTCCGCAGCCGTTCTCACATTGGGGGAAGCTTTTGGAGAGGGTTTTGGATGGAATCGCGACGTCTCAGATTCGTGCGCAATAGCGGGGAAACGTCTGGAAGCGTGAGATGTTGAAGTGCGGAGGATGATTTCACTGCACAGGGGCAGCGTTTTGTGAGATGGTAGTTTTTTTGCGCAGTCACTTTGGGATTGGGGCTTGAGGGTGGTGTGCTTGGGGTTTTGGGTGTGGCTGTGACGTTGGGGCTTGCATTTCAGGCTGTTTTCGTGACAAGTCTCAGCTGAAGTGGCGATGTGTTCCGAACGTGTCGAAATCACTCCAAACGTGTGGTGTGGTGGAAAACTGGCTGAAGCTAATGACATGATATTCGCGGTACTTTGTGGTGTTGGAGGTGTGGAAGTTCAAATTTTCGTTGCAGGCGCAGGAAGTCGTGAGGTTGCGAGTTGTGGTGGAGGTGAATGTCGCTGTGACATTGGGATTGGTGTGTGAGCGGGTGTTGTTTGGAGGGGCTGGAGTCACGAAACTGCTTGGCAGGGCTTGATGTGTGTGCTCCGATGGGGTTTCCCACTTGACTTTTGGAGGAAGTCTCATACGAAACGCTAGTTTGGAGACGTGATGGTTCACTTGTTGAGACTTCGGTAGTAGTCAAGAGTGCCCTACAGAGTCCAACAAGAGGGTCATACAAGAGTGTCCCACAAGAGTGACATACAAGTGTGTGCCACAAGAGCGTCTCCCGCAAGAGTGTGCCACAAGAATTGTCCGACAAGAGTGTCCTGCAAGAGTGCCGTCCCACAAGAGAGTGTCAAAGTTTGTTTGGGCGCTTGTTTTGGAGTACGTGTTTGCATGTGGGTTCGTGGGTTCCATTTTGTGTTTTTTCCATACCTTTACTTTTTTCTTTAAACTGAGTACTGGTATATAATTGTATTGTGACAGGATGAGGTGAACAACTTAAAATTTATGGAACACACATTACGAGCTCTGCAAAAGGTGACCCACCATTCATTGTGGTTGCAGGCGCCATCGTCAATGCAGCGTGTGGGAGTCCCCTGGTTGCGATTCTTTGGCGGGTCCTGCGCTGGTGGATGAAGGCAGCGTTGGTGGGTCCTGCATTTGGCCTGGTGTTTCGAGGTGCAGTAAGGAGAGCATCAACACTTGCAATTCTACTTTCCGCATTGAAGCTAGAAGTTGCGATTGTGATGTCCACAAATGCACCTGAAACAAAAAATGTGTCGGCTCAGAAGTGAAGACATGTGATTTATGCGCGTGATCATTCACGCGATCGTATACTGTATATATATATATATGCATGTGTCTAGACTGAGGTGAACACACCTTGCTTTTGGTTCGTCCCTTGTCGGGCAGCACGCCCCGACAGGCAGGAGACGCAGGTCATGCATGCATAGCTATGCATAGCTACCCTGCTGAATGCTTGACTCGTGTGAACAAGATATGTCCATAAGAGGCGTATCCTTAAGCAAACTCCGATCTACTGTAACCTGCCTTCTTCCTCCGATGATCTTGCAAGTGCCTTCATTTCGGCCGCCTGTTGGTGTGTTCCTGGCTCTCAGCTTCTCATGTGGCATATGTGCCATAAAATGCATGTTTGAACATGTTCATGTTTCCAACTTTCAATCGTTCGTGTTGCATCTCAAGGCCCTCGTAACAGCCAAACCGAAGGGCTCGATGGGCGGGTGTCCCGCTCGTTTCATGCCGAAATCAGAGGGCAGCAAGCCAGCTGCAGCTGAGCCTCTTCCCTACGTGTCACCAGATTCGTTGCGAGGGCGAGACCAGGCTATATTTGAATTTGCGAGTGCTCTAAAACCTCAATAATTAAGCATAAATGATGTTTGAACCAGACACATTCAGTATCATTCAGTCAATGGGCTTGGTTCTTTGAGCAGTTGTCCTTTGACGCTCAGTTGCACACGGCTTTCTTCCGCTCTGCTTTCTTCCGCCAGGTCTTATATCGATTTCTCAGGGGTGAGGACCGTGATGATGTTCAAGGTTAGGTGGTCGGAATCTTTTCACAACCGACAGAGACAGACAGTTCCATAAGGCACTTGCACATGCTTAGTGTACAAACATGCCGTTGCAGACAGTGTATCACATTAACTTTCGTTGGGGGTGGTCAAAGCCAGGTGATACCTGATATGGGTTTGACAGTGGTCTTGTACACACTGTTGTTGTGAAAGGGCTGCAGGTTGGTGACTTGGTACACACCCATTTGCGGCCGAATCGGCCACTTCGGCTTCGCCTGTGCAGCTCTTGGTGTTGCAGGTCGGACCTTGGACAAGATTCTGCTTTGGAGAGACGATCAATTGGAGGCACGTGCCCACATCAACACCGTTTCAAATCCGCTTCGTGTGCACTTGCCATTTTGAAGCTGTGTACCCGCAGGATCCGTAGGGGAAGGATGATGTTATTCACAGCCCCATGGTCGTGGCTGCGAGGCCGTGCATGACTACGTCCAGTGGATTTTTCCAACAGATGAAGCATCCATGTTCAACAGCCAAGCACCCCTACTTTCGCCTCAACTGCAAGCAGTTTGCCACCAAGATGAGAAAATAAAGGAGAACTTCGAAGCTGGGCTGGACTGATTTCAGTAGAAGTCGTAGGAGGGAGCAGGAAGAGTAGGGGCAGAAGTGGTAGTAGTCGCCGCCGTAGTAGTAGTGTTCTTGTGCATTAATTGATTCAACTACTGCTCCTATGTGCACACTTCCGTGCTGATGCGGCAGTCCAAATATATATAATATGCATTATATAATATGTTAATATGTTATTAGGATGCAGGCATCGGAGGCCATCTCCATAGTATGTATAATTGTGCCGACGCGTTGGACGTTGGGCAAACGGTCCGATTCGCAAGGATCGCATTTTGATGCGATTCCTCTCCTTCTTGGGCTTGCAAATGGAGACGATTGAGGGCAAACAGATTAAGATTTCGAAAGCCGAACACTTTGAGACCAGAAGCTCGGCTGCAGGGAAGACCTGAACACGACCACCTCAGCAGGGTTGGCATGATATGGCATGATGTGTGAAGTCAGAACAAAACTGCACGTGAGGCGTTCTTTTGATTTGGCACTGTGCACAGGGGGATCATGTTTTGTTTGACCAAGGACGACGTGATTGCTGGTCTGCAGTCTTCGGAATGAACCACAACTGGCTGAGGATCTCACGGGTCTTACATTGTCTTGGAATGGTGGGAAAGAAGGACTGGCCCAGGGGTTGTCCAGGGATGTCCTCCTTTGAGCTCATGATAGATCGATGGGCCGGCCATGGTGTTCTCCACAACACTCCAAATGATTGCCAGGGAGGCACTTTTTTGGTTGGTTGTTCTTTGCTGTTAATCATTGTTTTTCTTTGCCAAATTCTAGCCTGCCTTTTGATTGAGATGCTCATGTCTGAGGCATGTAAGCATTTTTGCATTTCAGTGTGATGCTTATATTTCACTGTTGAAAGCCTGCTTTCTAGCGTGTCTAGATTGGTCCTTTGGGGGATATTGGGAGATGCTCAAAGGCTGACAGATCTCACAGCAGAGGAAGAACAGCGTGCCTTGATGGAATTCCTGGAGACCATGCCAAAAGACATTCCGGAAGTCAGGAGCTCCATTCCTCACTGGCGCGGACGAGCACAAGCTAGCTAATCGACTTTTCCTCCATCAGCTCTGCTGAAATTACAAGCTCTCACTGGGTGTTTTTTGCACTATGCCTTATGTACAGTACAGAATGCAAGCCTTCTCAGCCCAAGGCGGAAGGCTCAAGCAGCGGTAGACATCGAGAGCATGTGAGAAAACAATCAGATCCACTGTCTTGCTTGCGAGACAGGCAGCCCAAACAGCATCAGGGTAGAGCACTGGCAAGGTCAGCAACAGCTGTAATCCTTGGACGAACCCAAGGACTCGTGCATCAACTCGTGCACCGGCAGGTCTTTGTTTGTGGAGCTTGGGAGGCCCTTGGACTGCCAAATTGTTCAGAGGACCCAGAGTCCCCAAAGCAGATCCCGCCACTCGGCCAAAATTGGAAGGAACTAGTCCGTGTTGTTGCCTAGGAACGTAGCAGAAGCGTTCACCATGTTCGATTCATTTGCGAGAAGGCTCAAGCCTCAAGGGTTCGTGCCCACATGCAAAATGCTGATGATGCAAGCAGCAACTACAACAAGCGACTTTTGGCGGTGGCAACTGGAAGCTGTCTACCGAAAGAGGAATCCTTACAAGCTGCATCGAGTGCCAGCATTGCTTGAGAGACACAAGGGCCCCTTGGTCGCAGACTCTTCCTGACTGACCCTGAAAATTGTGCCCGCATTATTCACAGGGTTTGTCTATAGTATAATATATAATAAGGATGTAGACTCAGACTCAGAATCACCCGTGTTCTGCTTTTTTTGCACTGAGCAACAGTTCACCTGTTTTTGTTGGACTTTCTCCCAGAGTTTGGCAACAACAGGGTCCACATTGTCCCAGCTGTTCTCAAACCGCAGACAGAAACCAACATGCACTAGACTGTCATTGGGGAGAAGTGTTCTGACTATATCAACTTGTCTTCCCATGAGAAGCTAAGGTGAAGAAGCGCTTCTTTACAGAAAGGTGTGCTTGACCTACGATTTAGACCCCACACAGTTCTATACTTATGCGAAATGGCCGGAAGATGTCCAACCCAGCGAGCAGCGCCCTGGGCTGGTGAACCGCTTGCTGTCCTTGTTGGGCCTTACCAAGACTGAAGCAGACAACGCTGAGCCATCGGCACCGGCGCCTTCCTCGCCTTCGACCTGGCGACCCTTTTCGTTTTGCTACCAACCAGGCGCCGACTTGCCAGTTTGCCAAGCTGCAGGCCACCAGGAGGTGGTGCACCAACAAAGATGTGCGGGCATTTCTCCCTTTGCACGAAACATAGCGCAGACGGCTCGAGGCTTTAAGAACTGGAAGCCAGTGATGCCCGCTGAAGAGATAGACTTTGAAGATGAGGGCCAGTCTCAGCTCGGTGGTGAGCTTGATGAACCGTCCCGAAGGCCTTTGCAACAGAGATGTCCAACTCGTCCAACTCAAAGCTTTGAGAATGCCCAGCCTCCCATGGTGCGTGGACGTCCTTTGCCTGGGGCCAAGAGAGTCCTGCCCTTGGAGGGTGCTTCAGCGGCCGGCGGCCTTGTGGATGCGAAGCGGAGGACGTGGAAATCCAGGTTCCTTCTTTTCCCATCTTTTCCCTAGTAGCGTTCTTGCTCCTATTAGCGACGCCAGGAGCCCCTAGTAGCGTCCTTTGTTCCTAGTAGTAAGGCCAGGAGCCCCTAGTAGCGTCCTTGCTCCTAGTAGCGATGCCAGGAGCCCCTAACAGCTTCTTTTCCCTAGTAGTAAGGCCAGGAGCCCCGTTCGTAGCATCCTTGCTCCTAGTAGTACGGCCAGGAGCCCCCCTCACATCCAGAACTTTCAATGACTCATTTTACTCGACCATCCATTACCATGGCGGTAAAATGAGTCATTTGGACTTTCAGGGGGCGTCCTGTTTTCATTCGTTTGACAGGTTTCCGACGGACCACAAATAGCCGCTAGTTACTAGCCACGAGACATATTAAAAATGCACCCCACCTTCCCGACTGCTTCCAGGAAGCTTTCTTCAGCTTGAGCTCTTGCTGAGTCGATTCATCAGTTTATCCGAATGTTAACATCCGTACGATCTGCGAGGTTTGCTTGCACCTGCACAAGGCGGTTGCATTCGCAACTCCTTAGCGTTGAATTCAGAATTGAGATGCATTGAGTGTGTCATGATTTGTGCTGTTGGAGTCACCTGTGCTCCGCAGAAATGTTTGTCATTTGAAGGTCGCTGGACCTGCATGCAAAACAGCACGCCATGAAACAGTCCGCCATGTGCTTAGGATTGTTCAACAGCTGTACGACGGGCACAGAAACGATAACATTTGCAGATGACTACCAACTAGAGTGAAAAGCGAATCAGACTCGACTGGTCAACTGCTCCAGGAAATCTCGCTTAGCATTGTTGGAAGGTGCTGGCTTTAGGACATGCAAGCGTGTTTGAATTCCACAGGTAGGCACACCCGTGGCCATTTCTGCTGAGGTACTGGGACAGTAGGAGGTTCGACGACAACTTTTGGTTGCCCTTGTTGGCACCGATGATGGTAGGGAGGTTCGTGGACTGCGTTTGATTCGACCGCATGATCCGCGCAATTTTTAGCTCGCAATCTTCTAGCTGGAACCTGGTCGAGCGCGTGGTTTTTCCGGCACCACCACCATCATACACTATTCACAGCTTCCCTGGCGAGCTGATCTTAATTCCTCGTGAGGGAGGAGCCAACGTGCCCTGCCTTTTCCTTCCATTTCAGCATGCACGCTTCTTGATGATGTTCTTTCATGCCAACGCAGAGGACCTGGGACTAATCTACAACTTCTGCACTATTCTGAAAGACCTATTTCAAGTGAACGTGCTAGCCGTTGAATATCCAGGCTATGGGATTTGTCCTGGTGCCTCAACGGAGGAAGGGATCATGGCAAATGCAGAGGCAGCCATGGACTTTGCCATCGAAACCTTGGGTGTGGCTCAAAACGACATCCTTCTTTTTGGCAGATCTTTGGGCACAGGTCCAACAGTAGCGCTGGCTTCGCGGTACCACCAGATTGCTGGAGTTGTTCTGGTGAGCCCTTTCACCAGCATTAAGGAGTTGTTTCAGAGGCGAGTTGGGAGGATTGCAGAGTTTCTGGAAGATCGCTTTGCAAACCTTACACTTGCATCGAAAATTTCAAGCCCAACATTGATCATTCATGGCTTGCAAGATGTCTTGGTCCCACCTGAGCATGGTCGCAAGATTTATGCCTCTATTCAGACCAAACGAATGCTGGTGACACCAGTGAGTATGACACACAACTCCTCGTTGTTGCGAGATGTGGCCAGTTTCGTCATGCCAATGACTTCGTTTTTTGCTTTGCCAGACTACGCTTTTGAAAATGTCCGGGTGCCCGACTGGGCATACCCGCCCAAAGATTTGCCACCGGGTTCCTTGATGGATCGAAAGGATGGAACTGCACTTTGGAACTGCTCGAGGTGTTGCAATCGGCTGGGAGGTAGTGATGAAGCAGTAGTTGAGCCAATCAGCAGACTAAAAACCGATGATCTCAATGAACCAGTGAGTTTAGAGTCGGCTGGAGTTCGCTTTGACTCAGCTTCTGACGTAAGCGCTTCCATGGGTTTTGGCAGCCCACCCAGCGATTTGTTGTCGACTTGAGCCGCTCAGTGAGCAGTTGAGCGAAGCGGTCGTGGGGCCGGTTGATTGTTTCACCCAAAGTGGGCCTTGTGAAGACCACATAATAGTGAATGCAAGTGAATGTCTCTCACAGCAAATGCTGTAGAGGCTGACCAGGAGGGACGACATGCAAATAGAGAAACATAGAGAAACCTATTTTTTGCTGAATTTGCTGTGCTATTTGTTAAAGTTTGAATTTATGATTTATGATTTGTTGGTTGGCCTTGGTGAACTGCATTGCTGCTAAGTTTGGATGCTCAGTATGACCCTGTCCAGTTCAAGACTCCTGTGCAGAGCAGCATTGATCAGCATAAAATAGCTAGCATAATTGCTCATTGCACCTTCCGGTGGCTGGGTAGTAAACTGCAGAGATAGAGCCAATTGTGAAGCTTTAGAGGTACACCGCAACGTAGTTTGTCAGTGTATAGTCCAGCTAGAGAGGCAGACAGCGAAACAATTGTTTTCAGGCAGCATTTTGCGGGACGAACGTGCAATTGCAGCGGAGAGACTCGGGCGATTGCGGCCCTCGGCCTGGTGGCAAAGTGGTCGTCGGACAGCTGGACCCATGCCACAGATGTGCAAATTCTTTGCGCAGGGCAGGTGTGCCTTTGGCAACGCCTGCAATATGTGGCACGGTGAGACAAATGGGACCAAGAGTGGGACGAATGGAAATGGCTACAAGACAAGCGAGAGTGCTGGCATGTCGAATGGCAACACGAATGGGTCCAATGTCAATGTTTGCAAGCACTTCCTTCAGGGGCGATGTGCCTTTGGCGACAGCTGTCGGAATTCTCACGAAGTCCCATCATCTGAAGTGAGGCCATCGCGGTCCATCCCTGGACCAAGTCCTGGGCCGATAGGACCGAGTCCAGGGCTCAAAGGACCGAGTCCAGGGCCCATAGGACCGAGTCCAGGGCCCATAGGACCGAGTCCAGGGCCCATAGGACCGAGTCCCGGTCCTTACGCAGGGCCACTCGGGGCAGGGCCACCCATCAGGCCACCAATGAGCTCCGTGGGAGTCCCCATGGGCTATGAGGAGGACCTCAACGTCGATCCCTTGAGTTCAGGATCGGCACGACCCATAGGCCCAATAGGCCCCATGCCCCCCAACGGCCGGGAGCGCAGGCTGGAGCCAATAGGTCCAGCTGTGGGGCCTTTGGGGCCAAGCAACGGATCCAACGGTTCCTTGAGTTCTTGTCCAGAGCCACGACCTGTGCGGCGCCGTGACTTTGAGCAGGATCCCGAATTCAGTGAGTGTGGCATTTGCTTTGAGAATGTGAAACGAAGAGGGGAACGTTTTGGAATGTTAGAGAGCTGCGACCACGCATTTTGTTTGAGCTGCATTCGTGGTTGGCGACGAGAGCGTGAGCAGGACAAGCAGAATCTGAGGCTTTGCCCTGTGTGCCGCAAAGAGTCTTTCTATGTCATTCCGAGCGATGCAATCATCCTCGATCCGGCAGAGAAACGACAAATCATTGACCAGTACAAACAGGAAATGGGGCGGATTCCATGCAAACTTTTTGACTACGGCCGTGGCTCATGTCAATTTGGCAACAGCTGCTTCTATGCCCACCTAAACCCTGATGGCACTCGCTACATCCCACCTCCACTGAAGTGGATGCGGGGTGCGGAGGGTAGCGAAGTGAAATCCGAAGTGAAGCTCTCTGACTTTTTTGACTGAAGTTCTTTTTTGGGAGTTTCTGATCTTCAGTCACTCTAGCTAGACATTCTGAGGACTACACTGAGTCGTCTTGACTAGTCAAGGACTTGGAGCTGACAGCACCTGCGCCCGAAAAGTGCCGCCATGCATTCCGAGCACGTTCAGCTTGTCACAGAGATTCCTCGCGGGTCTCGTGTCTCGACCCGCGCTCTCGTCGTCTCGGGTCTCGGCAGACGAGTGAGGCTCCGACATGATGTGACAGCGATTGCAGCTCGGGCAGGTGCCAGCTGCTGCACTGCCAGTGAAGGGGAGTCGGAGACACATGGCTCAAATGGCAGTTTTGGAGAGCTTTTCTTCGATGCGGGCTAGGCTATACAAGATCTAAGCCGTTATAGAAGCATTTGCAAAAAGAACATGAATTGGCCAAATCTAATGGTCCAAATGTGACCTGCTTGGTCAATGCCTAAAGGTTTAAGGGTTGAAGGGGTTCAGGAATTTACGGGTTTAAGACGTTAAACATGATGCCATTGAAACCGTCCCCGTAGACAATTTGCCCCCAGGGGAAAGGACATGCATTGTGCAAAGAACAGCGGTGCAGACTGAGCAATGCGCCGTGCTTGCTTCATGTTGGGACCGGCGTGGCTAAGACTTTGGAAATTCGTTCGCACCTTGCGAACTGAGGATGTGCAGACACCTGCTGTATCTTTGGGGCGAAGTTGATTTTTGTCCTTGCCCAGCAACTTGGACTTTGGTGAGCACTGTGACTGTTATTTTTGATTTTTTTGCACATCATCCGCCGTTCACCTAAATGGACCTGCATGGTGGAATAAAGGGAGCGCGGGGCATCGGTTTGACCACATTTTGCCCCCTTTGTTTTGGAAGCCCTCCCAAAGACCGCCCCGCGCTTTATATATCAAGGCCATCCAAAGCCGCTAAGAATATGGTTCCTCTACTGTGTCACTATGTTAGTTATTCATTGCTCTCCAGTGTGGACCACCCATACCGCCACTCACTCATGAAATCTCACAAAAGGGGTGCTGACTGTTGACTGGTATCACAGCATTGCAGAAAGGATTTGGCTCAGCATGGACGTCTCTGAATAGTACCCGTGACAGACATAGTTGGTATGCTCAGAGTGGCTTGTGGCTTGCCTGTGAAACTTAAGAGCTTAGAGGAAAAGGTCTTGGTTGCAAACAAGTGTTCAGAACACCGGTCAAATAGTTCATGTGTAATTTATGAGTGTTTATGTTTCTACAATCATGATAATCATCTTAAAATGTACTTAGTGTTCTCCATTTTTTCTTTGTCCGTTTTTTCTTCCTTCGCCACTTTTCAGGATCTGCTGGAGCGCCCCACGCCGTGCTTCCGTTTGCCCCGCATGGCAAAGAAGCTTTGTTTGGGTGGATCCTTTGGACTCGTGCTGGACGTGGCCGGAGAGGTCTTCGTGGCCCGGCAGGGACGTGGGTGGGTTGAACTGGGAGGCCGTGGGAGGCGCTACAATAACTTTTGCTGTGATTGGTTTGCGGCATGCGATTGGGTTGTTTCATTCTGGTTTGATGACATGAGACCAAAAGGAATTCAAACGGGCCGAAATGAGCCTGCCAGGCTCATCCAGGCTCCAGTTCTTTTCAATTCAGCACGCGTCAAGGACCGATGAAGGGAGGAATGGAATCTAAGGCCTGGGGTGATGACACCTATGGAGAGCTTGGAGGTGTGTGGCACTTAGAATCTTTTCACCAGTCAGACGATACCTTCGCTTGTTCAACGGTGGCTGCGGGAAAAACAGATGCAGGGGTCTTAAGCCTTAAGACAATGAGTGAGAAGCAAAAGTTGACTTAAGGCCACGATGGACTTTGGTGGGTGGCCACTGGCCAACCGGAGCTTCACAGACCCGCAAACACTCCCAGGCATCACTTGCCGTTCAGACATGCGTTGATTTGCTTGATGTATCTTGATGTACTGGAGCTTATTTAAAATTTAGAC